TACTTACCACCCCAGTAGGTGCATATGAGAACATTGGTCCCACCTCACCACCGTGACATCGTGCCATTCTCATGGGGGAAACATCGGTATCTTTGTTTCCTTGTTTTATTTCCAACTAACAGGAAGGTTTGTTAGCACAAAAGGACCAGGCTGGACACAAATTTTTTTATTTAGCAAATGGAGTCACAACTCTGACGGACCCACTTTCCTTGTGGAAAAGGAGCCACCAGCCGAAGGGGGAGTTTATGCTTATGCAGGTTACACTGAGGGGTGACTTTATTTATGAGCACGTCAGTTTGGGCTCTCAGGAATTTGAGATCTGTTCCTACTGGGCGAGATGGGGGTCTGGGGTCAGTGGTCAGCATCTGAAAAGGATTTGTTTGGGGAAGAATCAATGCTTTGGCCTCTTCCCAGAGACTCATTCCAGGCTTGGTGGACATCTCCTCCGGGGGCCGTCTTGTCACTGCCAAAGGTATTGGGAGAGGATCATGTATGGCCTTCTCCCTCCTCCACACAGCTCCCCAGGCCACACTATCTGGGGGTCTGTCACTTTCCATATCCAATAAAGTTTAACAACCTTTCATAAATATATATTATTAGCCACTTGAAGTTCCTCTTCTGCAAGAGATTCTTTTGATACACTCGTCGACTCAATTTTTGCCTGAGTTTGTGATATCAATGGACCTGCCATTTCCCTTAACTTTGCTGTTGCTTGATCTTTGCAGCTTCAGGACTAGACTAGCCTCATAGAACGTACTGGAACGCTTCTCCTCACCACTCCAGGGCAGTGTGCACAGTGCCATCTCTGTGTTCGTGGATCACTGCTGTAAAACCTGACCGGGGCATTTTAGGAGTTGGAGCAGATCCTGGAAGATCATTTCAGTTTCGTCAAAGATTATGAAGTCTGCTTTTCTTCAAGTTTTGAAGTTGGTCTTTTGGTCAAACAATGACCTCTTTAGGGCTGGGGTTGTGGCTCAGCGGTAGAGCACTCACCTTGCACGTGCGAGATCCTGGGTTCAATCCTCAGCACCACATAAAAAAATAAACAAGTGAAATAAAGGTGTTGTGTCCAACACCTTTATTTTACAACTAAAAAATAATTTTTTAAAAAATTACCTCTTTATGGCTGGGGATGTGGCTCAAGCGGTAGCGCGCTTGCCTGGCATGCATGCGGCCCGGGTTCGATCCTCAGCACCACAAACAAACAAAGATGTTGTGTCTGCCGAGAACTAAAAAAATAAATTTTAAAAAATTACCTCTTTAGTCTAATTTGTCAAATATGTTAGCATAAAGTTGCTCATAGTATACGCTCACATTTTCTAAAATTCTTACTTTATCTGGAATGTTCTCTTTGTCCWCTATAATATTGTTTGTTATTTTTTTGATCAATCTTATAAGAGGTTTTTCATAGGCTTATTAGTCTCTAATAGAATACCAGCTTTTGGTTTCTATAATTAACTTCAGTTTTTTTTTTTTTAAACTTATTTTTGCTTAGTTGTTCTTACATCCTTCCTTCTGCTTTCCTTGGGTTTATTTAGTTATTTTTCTGACCCTTTACATTTTTTTTTTTTCTGTAATAAGTACACTTCAGGCTCTAAATTCCCCTTTCATTATTGTTTTAGTTGAATCTTACAATTTTGGTGTGTTATGTCAGACTTTCATTGTTCTTCATTTCTGAATATTTTGAAATTTCCATAATTTTGGTTTTCTTTTTAATCTGTATTTCTCAGTTTCCAGAGTATTCTATTTCTTTTTAAAATGGATGATGAGATCTTCCAACTTTCAGCAAAGTAGAAAAATTAATATACTGAACCCTCGTATGCACACCCCTGTACTTATTACCTAGCTTAAGAAGGAAAACTCAAATGTATGCTGACAGTTTTTAGCCTTATTTTTCACAAGTTATAGATGTGCATAGAAAAATAAATCATCCTGACTTCCTGGCCCCTTCTTGAGAAGCAACTGCAGTTACTAATTTAAGGTGTGTTTTCTGTGTGGTGTGGGTTTCTCTTTGGATCTCGTCTTGTTGTTGATTTTTAACTTGGCTGTGTTGTGGTTCATGAGTGTGGTCGACGGATTCTTTGGAATTTACCAAAGCTTCTCCTGTGGCCCAACATGCAGTCAATTTCTGTGCATGTTCCAAGAATGTTTGAAACTAGATACACCAAGTTCTTGCTCTAATATACGAATCCAATTTCATTATTTCTTCTCCGATAGGATAGTTTCTATGGTCCCAGGAGAAGGAACAACCCTCTTGGCGTATTATATGACCCTGACCTTCCTCTCCAGCCGGAGCCTTGGCCACTTCCCCAACGTACAGCAAATTTATGTGCACGTGGCTCTGATGTTAGGGCCAGCTTTCAGAAGAACATTTAAACTATCAAGAGTTGTCCAGAAGCCGGGTGTGGTGGCGCATGACTGCCACCAGCAGCTCGGGAGGCTGAGCCAGGAGGATTGCAGGTTTGAGGCCAGCTTCAGCAATTTAGTGAGGCTCTGAGCAACTTAGTGAGACCCTGTCTCAAAATAAAAGATGGAAAAGGGCCGGGGGCGTGGCTCAGTGGTTAAGTGCCCCGGGATTCAATCCCTGCCACAAACAAACGAACAAAAAGAGTTGTCCAGGAGCAGGTGGATGATCTCAGGCCTGGCAGGTCAAAGCTCCTGTACATACTCACTGAGGCCACAAGAGTCACCGGGAGGCAGGACGGTCACCCTGCTGGAGCCCCCTGCATTAGGAACTCCAATCCCTTCCCACCACCTCTTCCCACTGAGCTGGAGCCACCTCTTGGAGACCTCTGGCTGCACTGTCCCTTCTGGCTGTTTCTGCCTTCCCGTGTCCTGGGGGATCACTTCAAAAAGACATCCTCTAGCTGCTCTGCCTTCTGGAGTCAGCTGACACCCCACCGCAGTCCTTTATTCAGCAGAATATGCCTGGCTCCTCTGTGGAGAAAACACAAGACACTGGGTGTGAGCCTTTATTTAATCGTTTTTACCTACCTTCCTCTTTTCTCAGAAGTGTGTCTCTCTCTCTTTTTTTGGTACCAGGGATTGAACCCAGGGTCACTTAACCACTGAGCCACACCCCCAGCCCTTTTTATATTTTATTTAGAGACAAGGTCTCGCTGAGTTGCTGAGGCTGCTTTGAACTCGCGATCCTCCTGCCTCAGCCTCCTGAGCCACTGGGATGACAGGAGTGCACCAATGCACCTAGCTTAGAGGTGTCCCTCTTGCTCTTTAGGACAGGAATAATCCTGTGTCCATACACCCTTCAACCTGTCACTTTTCATTGTATCCATTTTCCCCTCTTTAGAAAGATAAGACTCTTATCTTCCTAAACCCTAGGAGTAGGCCGCACTCTCCCCCAGTTCCACTCTTCATTCCTCTTGGACTCCAGTCTAGCTCCCTCCCCTCTCTATTAACGCTGCTCTTATTGATATCAAACTCTAGATCAGTGACATTTTTTTCTAGAACTCTCCAGAGCATTGACAATCCTGACCACACCCTACCTGGGTGTCTCTGGAACCAGAACTGATTCTCTGGCTTCTCTCTTTACCTTTCTCTGGCCCTTGGATCCCGAAATGTCACTGTTCCCAGCTTTCCCTAGTCTTGATCTCAACTAGCCTCTCTCTATACACCGAGAAAGCACAGGCTTTGAAATAAAGAAGGCAGCTTCTCCCACGCTCTGAACTAAGGCGGCCAAGGGAGGACGGTGGCCCACTGTTACCAGATTTCCCTGTTCTTTAAGAGCAGTCAGATCTCTCCAGGTTTTATGTGAAACACCTCAACTTTAAATACTGATCCTTGGCAAACAAAACACACGTGTTCCTCCTTAGRCCCAGAGGGCAACTGGTAAAGTGCTCTCTTGGTAAAGATAGTTCACACTTATTCAGGGGTCACCATGCTCCGGACACCTAAGTGGTTTGTGGTTAATCTTCAGAACAACCTGATCAACAGGCCGCCGTGGTCATCCCTGCTTTACAGATGAACAAACCGGCCCGGGCTTGAGGGCTTTCTCCGGAGTTAGACATTTTGACTTCAAAGACCAGGATTCCATCTGGACCATCCAGCTCAGAGTTCCAGCTTTTAATCCCACTCAGCAGATGAGGAACGAAGGTCCAGAGGGGCGAGGGGGTTGTTGTCCCCACCACTGGGGTGGTAAGTGCCAAGTAACAATTGTTGAGCCATCCTCAGTGAGACAGATCCTGCACTTACTACTATTGTATAGTCACTTACTACTATTGTATAGAACACAGCGCTAGGCTGCTGTGTTCCCGGCTCTCAGACTAGGGTCTGGAATACATTTATAAAAATGAATACCTTGGAAATTCAAAGCAGCTCCTTCACTTCCCTTTACAACCTCATTTACTTATTGCAACAGCCCCCAGGTAAGATGCTAGCTGACGTTTAACCAGCACTTGCTGACAACACTTTCCAAGTGTGCGCTAACCACGGGCCACTAACAACGGGCCACGCAGTAAATCTTCAACCTCGGGGGCATCTTCAATAGGGACTGTTATTCCATTCAACAGAAGAAGAGCCTGAGGTTCAGAGTGGCTCGGTGACTTGGCAACCAGCAAGTGGCAGCGCTGGGATTCTAGCGCAGGCTGCACGACCACAGGGCCCTCAGGCTTTGCGACGAGGCCAGTGGGTCCCCAGATGAGGAAACGGAGGTCAGTTCAGCTGCGGAATCGCGGCTTTGAGGGGAAGCACAGGCAGCGAGCCTGCTTTTCCCGGCTCTCGGTCGGGGATGCCTCTGTGGTGCCGCAGGGCGATCAGCGGAAGCCTTTTCCCGTAAGTACCGGGAGCCGAGCGGGAAAGCGCGTAACTCCGGACCCAACCCACTGCTCTGCGAAGCCAGGCCAGCGGCGCGGGCGGGAGAACCGGAAATGCGTCACCCAACGGGCGGGGCACGTTTGCCAGGGTCCACCAATGGGAGCGCGGCGTTCGCGTCAGCCCCGCCTCATAGGCGTGCCCGAGCCCGCCTTCCGGCCAGAGCCGCCGGCGTAGTTGGGCTGCCTGGGGTGCTGTGGCGGGTAATTCGGGGCGCGCGAGTGGGCGGCCCGCGGGGAAGGAAGAGGGGAGGACGGAAGGTGGGGCTGGGCGGGTCCGGCGGCGGGGTCGGTCCCGGTGTGCCGTGACGGAGCGCGGGGCTGGGGACGGGAGGGGCGGGGGCTTCTGTGCTGCTGAGGAAGCCGCCCGAGCGGGGCCGCCGACGCGGGGAGACCGGCCCCGGTGACAGGTCGGTCCACGCCGGCCCCACCTGTGGCGCACCCGGCCGGGCCGTCCCCGCCCCGCCCCGGGCCCCGCTCCTGMGTGCAGAGCTGCTGCCGGGCCGCGAGTGCGCAGCCCCCGCTAGAAAGCCCCGCGGCTGGGCGTGTTCCGAATCCAGAGCTCCCCGGGGGCGGCCGAGGGCCGTGSTGCACGTGCGTTTCCCCGTCGTGTCCCACCCGCCGGCCGCAGCCGCGTCCCCGCGCCCCACACCGCAGTCCTTCCCGTGGCCAAGGACCTTGCGTGTTCACGTGGTGGGGACAGAACCCTCCAGAGCCCCTCTTCAGGTCCGCTCAGGTTTTCACACAGAAGAAAGTGCTGCTCTCAGGCTCCCTGAGGTCAGACACTTGCAGATAAGGGACCTAGGACACGGTTTTATTGTTCACGCGTTCACCCGTAACGTTCACCTGGACTTGCAAACCTCCAGCGCCCTCCCTGTCACCTGGGCCTCAGTCTCCTTATCTGTGAAATGGGGTCAGTCATGCTTCCCTAAAGTTCCAGGGAGGAGTGAAGGAGGCTAGTCGAGCACAGCGCTTTGTCCAGCACGCTTTGTGGCACACAAGCATTTTGATTTTTAAATTGTTTGGCCCTGTCACAGTCTTTCATAGAGGCCGCTGACATGCGTGAACACGCATGTCTCTCCCGCTCCCACTTTGCCACCCCTTTCCCCCAGATGATAACATTTGAGCCCCGTCTCTGCTTCATTCTTCTCATGAACGTTTGTGTTGGCTGTTAACATAGTCACACGGTTTTCTTTATTATTCTATGTAACCATCTATAAAAGCACGTGGGAATGTCAGCTTGAAGAACAAAAATGAAATGAACACCCATATACCAGATAAGGAAATATGGTATCACACCCCCCTAAACCCCGTTAAGTCCTTTTCTCCCCATCCCCAAAGAAAGCCACCSCCATAAATATTTTGTTACTCATTCTCTTGCTTTTCGTGTTAGTTTGTGTTTCTCTAAGGAGTGCAGTATGTGGCTTTGCTGGTTGGGGGGTTTTATGTAATGGGATCCTGATACACAGATTGGTGTGAGTAGTTCTCCCTCATTCACCTGCATTGCTGTTTTGAATATCATGATACAATGATTTTATGTAGCCATTCTTCAGTGGGCAGCATTCATCCTGCTTGCTGTCAGGCTTTGGTTGTTACATAGTGCTTCTAGAAACATATTTCCTGGGGCACAGGTGAAAGTTTCTTTMAGGTGTATACCTAATAGCGGATTCCTGGGGATATAGCAGATTGTTAATTAAGTGGCTATAAGAATTTGTAATCAGCCAGTAGTGGATGAAAGTTTGACCCTCAACCATTCTTTAAAATTTTTACCCAGTTGTTGGTGGGTGAGACRTTACTCGGCTCTGATTTTAGTGCTCATTGGTGCGTTAGCCTTGAGATGGAGCATCTCTTAATGTGCTTACTTATCACTTGTGCATGTTCTTTCTGTGAATTTTTTGTTGCTCATTTTTCTCTTATAAGATTTTCTTTCCCATTCTGATTTGTGGGAGTCTTTTATATATGCTGAGTATAAATCTTTGTGGATTACMTGTATTTTATATATCTTCTAGTTTGTGACCGTCCCCTGCCCTTTTCTTCCTCTCTCTCCTACCCTTTGGTGTTTTGGTGAACAGAGGTTCTTAATTTTAACAAAATAAAAAATTTTAATTTGTTTTTAGATATACATGACAGTAAGGGTGTATGTTGACATATTATACACACACGGGGTGCGACCCATTACAGTTTTGATCCCATTCTCGTGGGTGTGTAGGATGTGGAGTTTCACTGGTCGTGTATTCATATGTGAGCAGAGGAAAGTAATGTCCCATTCATTCCATTCCACGGCTTTCTTCTTCCTACCCCCCATCCCTTCCCTTCATTCTTCTTTGTCTAATCCAGTGAACTTCTATACTGGCCCTCCCTACCCTCCCTTGCTATGGGTTAGTATCCTCTTATTAGAGGGAACATTCAAGTTTATCAGCATATTTGTTTCTGGTTTGTACCTTTTCAAAGAAAATTGTCAAGAAATTCTTTCCTATTCTTGGGGCTGGGATTGTGGCTCATTGGTAGAGTGCCCGAATATCATGCAGGGACACTGGGTTCGATCCTCAGCACCACATAATTGTAAAATAAAGATATGTGTCCACCTAAAACTAAAAAATAAATATTAAAAAAAAGAAATTCTTTCCTACTCTTGARACGTAAAAGATATTCTCCTATATTGTTAGCTAAAAAGTTTTATAGCTTTTCCTTAGTTTTTAATTTTCCAGAATCAAATTTTATATATAGTATGAGATCATATTTAATTTTTTTTAAACATGGATGACCAGTTGTCCTGACATTCCATACCATTGCCATCTCTATTCATTACTCCAGTCTTGATATCTTGATATCCATACAGTAACTATTGTATTGATACAATAAGTCTTGATATCTAGTAGGACAGGTCCTCCCACCTTCTTCCCCAAGAATGTCTGCTGTTTTGCCTCCAGGWGTTCCATGTACATTTTAGAATCATCTTGTCAAATCATATACTGACATATACACCGAGCCTGCTGGGATTCTGATTGGAATTTCATTGMTTGAATTGTAGTGGATTAGTTTGGATTTTTAAATGTTTTCAACATTTTATGTTTACTGTAGGTTTTTTTTGTAGATGTCATTCAGTATATAAAAGAAGTTTCCCTCTATTCCAAATTTGTTGTTTTTAGTATGAATAAATGTTGAAATTTGTCAATTATTTCTGCATCTATTAAGATAATTGTATGCTTTTCCCCTTATAATGTGGTGACTCACAGTGATTGATTTTCAAATGATAATCATTGCTGGAATAAACCCAAATAAATAATAATGTTTCATTTTCATGTTGCTGGAGTTAGGTTTAACATTTTTGCTTAGGACTATTGCAGCTGTGATCCTGAAAGATATTGGCTATTTATGTTTTCAAATTTTTTTCATCACTTTTKAATGAGTTTCCTATGACTTTGTACTTATTTAAAATTTCAGATTGTTATAAATTGTTTTTCTTTTAAAATCTTTGTGTCATCTGCAATTAGTTTTTCTTTTCTCATTCCAAATACTGCTTATTTATTTGTAAGTGTTCTCTTGGGAAATCTCATCAGAGTCTGTTCACTATGTTGGTTTTTTAAAGAATATTTTTGGTTTTGTCTTAGGTATAGSTTTATTTTTTTTATTTTATTAATTTTTGCTGTGCATTATTTTCCTTTAACACTTAKTGTTCTTTTTATAGCTTATTTAGATGGATTTCTAACTCATTAATTTTTTAGCCCCCCTTTTATTAGTGCATTACACATGTTTTCATAGTGACATATTTGTAAATAATTATACACAATAGAGGTGTTCATAGTGACATTTGTGTATACACATAACATAATTTGTTTTATTTCATTTCCTCCTTTTAAAAAGAACACAAATACTTAATGCTGTTTATTTTCTATTTGATTTGTTTCCCATCACTTTTTATTGTGTAATGTTTTGTGATTGTTCAGTTCAAAATATTTCCTGATCCTCACTAATAATTCCTCTTTGATAATGGATTGTTTAGAGTGTGTTTCTTAAATTCTAAACAAATGAGGGTCTTTGTGGTTTCCAGCTTCCTTCCTTTAGGGTCAGAGCCGCAGTCAGTAGGAGGCCCATTGAGATTTGCCAAGGCCTGTTTTCTGGCCTCCTGTTGGGCAGTTGGCATGATTACTTTGGGTGTGCTGGTGAGTGTATTCTAGCTGTCAGGGCCAGTGTTTCATGCTCGCCTGTCAGCTTGAGCTGTACTGTGTCCTGCAGATCTCCTCTCTGTGCTGGTTGTTCTGTCCACTTTCATCTGGGGCTGTGTTGACATCTCCCACTGTGCACTTCTAAGTTTAGCTTTGTAGTTGGACAGTTTTATCTAGAGTGTTTTTGAGGCTCATTAGTTAACTGCCTAAACGTTTTAGATTGTTATGTCTTCTTTTTTTTTTTTTTTTTTTTGAGAGAGAGAGAGAGAGAGAATTTTATAGTTTTCATCGGACACAACATCTTTGTTGGTATGTGGTGCTGAGGATCGAACCCGGGCCSCACGCATGCCAGGCGCTTGAGCCACATCCCCAGCCCATTGTTATGTCTTCTTGATGAAACTTTTTATCACTTTGTGATGACCTTCTTTATCGCTAGTAATCTTTTTTTACCTTTAAATCGATTTTGTCTCATCTTAAAAATCACACCAACTCTGTCAGTTTGCAGAGTATATCTTTCTCGACTGTTTTGCCTTTGGTTTTTCAGCATTCTTATATTTTGCAAGTAGCTTGTAATATATAGCTAGATTTTATTTATTATTAACTTTAAAAGTTTTAAAATTGGTCTGATGGTCCTTTTCTTTAAATCAGAATATGTAGTCGATTTTTGTTCATTGTGATTACTAATCTAATTGGATTTATTTTGTCTATTTTTAATGGTTATTATGTGTGCCTGTTCTCTGTTCTTTACTTCTTTGTTGTATTCCTTAGGATTAATTATATTTTTCTCCAATTATTTTCCTAATTTTGAAAATGTATGCTACTTCTGGTTTTTAAAATAGTTATGCTAGAAATTGTAAAATGCAAGTGTACAATTCATAAGTATTTTGATTCTTCTCACAATCATCATAAGGAACAGAAATTCTAGTGGCCAGTTACCTCCCAATTTATATGATATTATTTTCATTTATCTTAATTTAAAAAGATCTCAAATCCTCTTTTTACTGTTTTATACACTTAACAAATCAGCTAGAACGTGGTCATAYATTTACCACTTTCACTCTGTCCTGCATTTTAGACCTTTCAGCTGGTATCCATTTCTTCCTGAAATTTGTACTTTGACATTTCCCGTAGGGAGGGTCTGTTGGTCACTTACTCTTTCTGGTTTTTTTTTGGGGGGGTATTTGGAGATGTTTTTATTTCACCCTCAGTGTTTAGCTGGGTATCAGATGGTCTGTTGAAGGACACACCCTCCCAGCACATTGAAGATGTGACACACTCCATTTTTACTGTTGTGAAGTCAGCTGTCAAGTCTCCTTGTTGCTCTTTTGAAAGTAACCTTGCCTACTCTTTGGTTGTTTTTAATCTTTGTTCTTCTGTACTTTTACTAGGATGTGCCTCGCTAGGTATTTTAAAATTCATCCTGTTTGGATTTGATGGCGATGTCATGGTTGTGATCATGATTCCTATTCTTTGTCCCCTCTGTCAAACTTCATTGATACCCTCGTCCCCAATTGCTGGATGTGTTGGGCAGGTTGCTTACTGGGCTCTGTGTCTTCCCTGCTGGTCCACCTCCACAGGGTGGCTCAGTCGTCTTCCTCCTCGAAGACCCTTAGTCTGGAAGGCCTCAGTTCCACGGTTTCCAGGATAAAAGCCCAAGTCCCCTGGCCTGGCACATCGAATTCCCGTGTGCCCTGCAGGCCAGAAGGTGCTGAACTCATGAAATCAGTACAGGTGGACGAAGGCTCCTGACCCTCTTGGTGGGTGATGCACCTGAGGACTGCTGGGTTCTGAGGCTGGGGGAAAGGAGGACAGGAGTCTGAGTTGAGGTCAGTGGACTCTAGGGCTGCGTGGCTGGGACCTTCCAGGTCAGATGATTGACAGAGAAACTCAGCAGGGAGAGGGGCTGAGGTGCTATGAGGAAAGGATGGTCCAGTTCATTTGAGGCGGAGATGCTGGTGAGGTATTCTGGAAGCCATCTGGCAGGCAGGCAGGCAGGCAGAGACGCTGGACCTGGGCTGGAGGTCCAGCTGATGATGGAGCATTTTTGTGTATCTGTCACGTGCTAGATTCTTGGCAAGCCTTTGCTAGTCACCTCCCTCTTGAACCTCATCTTACGCCTTGAAAGTACTTAACTCTACTCCCTGCTTTATAGCTGAGTAGACTTAGCCTCAGGGATACTGGGCACTTAGCTGAAAATGTCTCTGTGCTGTGGATTCCCTGAAGTCACAGCGGATCTCTTGTCCTGAGTCATGGTCTCACCCAAGGTGACTGTTAACACCTTAGAATTTTGAGTTCCACCGCAATCACACCCTCCAGGACTGGGCCCTGGAATCTGCATTTGAATAGCATTTGAATACACAAGTTAGATGATTCTTCCTATCTGGCAGGGCCTGGCCAACCCAGGTCCCAGGGCTGCCTGTCTGGTTCCAAGTCCTTGCTCTTGGTCCCTGCACTGTGCTGCCTCTTTGTGGTGGGAGCAGRTGTTTAGATCAGGCCTTGTGTCATTTGTTCTCTGTGGTTTGTGGAAAGCCCATTTTATTGGCGAGCAGGGATGTTAAGAATAGCCCACAGTCCGACTGTGACAGGTGATTTATTGGAGGTTTGTGGAGAGGAAAAGGAAGCTAACTTTTATTAAGTGTTTACTAGCAGTTTTCTAAGCAATGAATGTTATTATAATTTTATAGGAAGAAAACAAGGCCTCTGCTAAGTTTCTCCAAGGCCATAAATCTGGTAAGTGGCTGAGCCAAGGGTCAGATTCAGAATTATAGTAAAAATGGCTCGCAGTGATTTAGTGCGTACTGTGTTCCCAGACTGTTATGTGTATGAACTCATTGTGTCTTTGTAGCAGTTCTTTGGCGGCTGTTTCTGACATGATTCCCACTTTGTAGATTGGAACGGAACCGGGGAGTCTCTAAATGGCCTAACTGCACACCCTAATAAGTGGCGGAGCCGGCTCTGGACCCAGGCCTCTGGCTCCAGAATCCCTGCCCGCTCCCCACCTTAGGACCCAGCCCCTGCCCCTTGTGTAGTAGTTGGCRTGCAAAACTTAATTTCCAAAACCATAGTAAAGTTATATTAACATGAATTAATACAAACCCGGACAGTGCTTGTGGTGTGCTTAGGGTGACTGGGTTCATTCGTTTCTTTCCAGCTCCTCCACACATGCAGGGAAGCACGAAGAGAATGGGCGTCATGACCGACGTCCATCGACGCTTCCTGCAGCTGCTCATGACTCACGGTGTGCTGGAAGAGTGGGACGTCAGGCGCTTGCAGAAGCACTGCTACAGGGTCCATGACAGTAAGTGTCGCCTCCCTGTTCCCAGCACGTCCTGGTTCTGTGTCAGTTGGGACTGATAATACTGGTATAATGCCAGGTGACGAGTTGCCAGTAAGTCTGCCGAGAGCATTCRGGTCTCTTCCATCAGCTGTCTCTCTAATCTCCTCGCCCACTTCTCCGCAGCCCCCCAAGTCAATCTGACATTCAGCTCAACAGAGGAGAACTTTTGGACTCTGAAGCCGTAAAGTCGTGGTTCACACCAAGGCACCAGCATGTGCTCGGTCTCAGTTTCCTGGACTCTTAAATGGGGATAGTAATGCTATGCAGCTCGTAGGGTGGTTCAGAGCGCCAGGAGAGGTGATGCGTACAGAGCACCACGGGAAAGTCCTCAGTGCTCTCTTTAGCAAGAGGGGAGCGTAGCACAGGCACCGGGCACAGCCTTACACCCAACAAGACCTGAAACGAGTGCCGTCCTTGCCCTGTGCCAGCTGGGAGCACGCCTTCTCAGTGGGTCACTGGGAGGAGTCGGAGGGCAACGTGTGGCATTCTGGAGACAGGGCTTGGTTCATGTTCTCAGGACCTGGAGAGAGCAGTCAACCATCAGGGTGGATCCTGAGGGATCAGTAGAATCAATATTGGCAGATCTCAGCCAGCTGTTCGGAAGGCTGAGGCAGGAGGATAACAGGTTCAAGGCCAGACTCAGCAACTTGGTGAGACTCAGCGCCTTAGTGAGATCCTGTCTCAAAATGAACAATTAAAAACAAAGGGCTGGCGAAGTTGCAGAAGGACTGTGAAGCACCCCTGGGTTCAATCCCAGCACCAAAACAAAACAACCAAACAAATGCAAGATCTGGCTGAGTGTCAGTATGAGTAGATCTTGTTAAAAAGGAAGTCGAGGAGTTAAACTGATTGTGTGCTGTCAATTTGTTACATTTTTTTGTAAAGTACAAAATAATTTTTGTTGTTTTGGAATTCATCCACAAGGGAAGTGAAGCAGAGACCAGGAGGGTGAGCGGCCGTCAGGAGGGTGAGTGGGCATCGGGGAGGGTGAGAAGGCGTTGGAGAGAGTGAGCAGGCATTGGGGAGCCACTTGCTTTTGATGAGAGGAGGGAGTGAGTGGGCAGTGGAAGTCGGAGGACTCTTCATCTTCATCCTRTTGTGTCTTTTATTAAAAAGAACACTTGAGGACAACGTGCCATCCTAGCACAGTCTAATGGCTGCCACTTCTGATTTGTGAGAATTAAGAGATCTTTCTTCTGCATTTTTGTCTTTCTGCATCTCTACTTTTCAAGAGAAAAGTAGAAAAATAACAGCGGTGAGTCAAGGCAGGAGGAGTGAGAAAAAGGGGCTGGGGCGTGGGGTGCACAGCACACAGGTCCCTGCCCCGTGGCAGAGGGCGCCAGGCTTCCAGAACTGAGTCGGTGCAGCATGATGGAGTCAGAAGGCGGGTCCCAGGTGGCTGATCAGTGCGGGGTCAGCAGGGGAGCGGGCCGGCGGGCAGGCACAGAGACTGTTCCTGCAAATTGTGCAGAAGGAGGAGGAGTGTAAGGAGGTGGCGGAAGGTGTGTTATCCAGAGCTCTGGTCCCGCTGAGCCYCTCTGGGGGCCTCCTGGAGCTCAGCGATGCACAGGAACACGTGAGAGACCTGGAGGGTCCTGCAGTAAGGAGCCCTGCTTAGCTGTGCTCACTTGTGTGTACCCAGATGTCGTTGACCCACTAAAAACATGCCTTGGGACCTGAAGAGCAGTTGTGACCTGTGGGGAGGGAGTGCGCGCTCCTCAAGTGCAGGTGAAGCCGTGAGAGCCCGGAGCCAGGTAGTGGGCTGTGGCTTAATTCCTGGGGCAGTGCAGACCTCTTGGGGAACTTGAGGGAGGAAGAGGCATAACCCACACTGAGGTAGAGAACTGTCCCCRTGAGGATCTATGCTGAATGCTGTGTCTGTCTGAACTGTGGGGGGCAGGGATTTTAAATGTGAAACTTTTATACTGAAAGAGAATATGATACTTGTCAATCTGGCTTCTCCTTCTCTTCAAAAGCACAATAGGATTTTAAAGTGGCCTCTCGGTCCTCCAGAGATAGCATGAGRCTGACTCTTAACTCTTTGACAATTCATTTCTCTCCCTTTTAGTTTCTTACACAAGTCCGTTTGTGAGCTTCACTGTCGATGGGGAAGTTTCACAGTTCAGTGCAAGGAGCAACAGAGGCCTGAGTAGTCAGAATGAAAGTGTTTTTGCCTTTTCTTGACCTTTAAAATAGTTATGATCTAATTTAGGAAAGTCCTATAGACTGTGTCTAGGAACTGATTTATGGTTTGTTTCCCCCCTTATCAACAGGGGATACGGTGCACGATCCACAGTGGTGGATGCCGGAAACTAGGTGTCGTRCTGAACTGTGTGTGTGAGTGTGATGGCTTCTCCTATACTGACATACACATACACCTGTGGTAACATTTATAAGTCAGACAGTAGTGATGGACAACTGATGATAAAGACAGCAACTTGAACAGTACACTCCAGGGGCTGGGGCTGGGGCTCAAGAGAGAGAGCGCTCGCCTAGCATGAGGCGCTGGGTTCGATCCTCAGCACCACATACAAATAAAATAAAGATAATGTGTTCCCCTCAAAACACTAAAAAATAAATATTAAAAAACAAAAACAAAACAAAAAACAGTACACTTCAGTAAAGTTATGTCAATGTAGCGTCTCTTTCTCTTTCTCATGATACCTGTTGTTTGTACTGACCCTGACTGTGGTTGACCTCAGGTGAATAAGACTGTGGAAAGTGAAACTGTGGATTGGAGGTGAGGGCTGGGCTACTGTATTTTTCATACTTTATGTTYGATTTCTCTGCCCCAAATGTGGTCATGGCGGGGTGAGCAGGACATAGCAACAGTCTGTCTTCTCCTGTCCCTCATTAAATATTTATTCCCATGTGGTTTTGTTACTAGAGAGATTTTAAAACAAGTAATGATGAGAGGAAGCTATTTAAAATCAAGTCAATATGTCCCAGACTCAGTCTCATTGCAGGACTCTCCTGTGTTGTGAAGAGACGCCCTGGAAAATCCCTTCCAATCAAATGGGAAAACATCTCCCCTCTAGGAGAGCCGTGAGACCACGGAGTGATTGAACCTGCAGGCTCATCTAAGCACTATTGCCCGGGGTGCATCCAGCTGTCAAAGCACTTCTAGTTCTGGGATTTTGTAGGGRCTTTCTTCTTCCTGTCTTTCAGGGGAAACATTCCCAGATTCTTCGGGCCAGCGAAGAGTTTAGATTCTTTTCTGAAGTTCCAATGCAAAGCTTTGGGCCTGACCTTTCAGAACGGTGCTGAGGGCCTGTGTTCCTAGAGACTTTTGATTTTGAKCCAGAGCTAGCTTCTGTGCATGTGTCCCCTTAGCCAGCAAAGCTGTGTGAGAGCCTCATGTATCTGCTAGTTTTTGTTTCTCCTTGGGTCTCCTGAGTCACCAGACAAGGGGGTCAGAGGGTTCCAGCAGAAGCCCTTGGTGGTAGCAGGCCCAGGAGGTAGAGAGCAGTGGGTAAGAAGACTCAGGCTTGGGCTGGGGATGTGGCTCAAGC